TTACGATGAGAATTGAATAATTTTGACTTGAAAAACTCATCAAACAGTGGAGTTGGCCAAATTTGTAGTCTCCCAAATTTTTTCTTGCTACAAACTCATAGCAGTTAAAGTTTAATTTTTCTAAGATATGTTTTCCATTAAGATTCTTAAGCCATTTTAACTAAATGGGCCTCCCTTTATCTGGGCTAAAGCCCACGTAATAGAGAAGTCAATGCTCCAACCGGCTAAAATCAGACAGCCTAAGTAATAAAATGTTGGAATTATTTATAAGAATAATTAATATTTATAAATTAACTGATATATTTACATGTGTCATGATGAAATTATTAAAATTTGATAAAAATGAAATTTTTTAATTACTTAGTTTAGGGTGGTTTGTATTTATATTATAACTATTGCTCGCACGATACTTAGCATATGCATAATATAGACATATTTTCAACAAATATCTATGTGATGCCATCTATAAAAGAACCATTACATCCAAATATTGGTGGTGCTTGAAATTTGTTTTGTAGATGATTTTCTTTATCATAGAAAAAGTTTTTTTTAATTAAAAAAAATGAGAGAAAAATGAATCATATTTAGGGGTGTAAATGAGTTAAGTCAAGCTTGAGCCGCACTAAACACAAGCCGGACTACTAAGATGTATGGTTGGCTAGAGCTCCAGCTCATAACTTGAGCCCGAACTCAACTCGTGGCAGTTTTGCCCCACTGGAGTTTAGCTCAAAAGCTCAATTTTGATAAAAAGATTTTATAAGTTTATGGGATTGTTAAAATTTTATTTAATGTACAAAAATAGGATGATTATTCAATGAATTAATTAATTTAATTGTGCTAAGTTGACAATTTCTTAAGCTAAGTCAAGCTAAGCTCGAGCCCGTGACTTGATAAGCTCGACTCATAAACTCGCTAAGGAGTTGACTTCTAGCTGGGGTCTTATATCCCTAATCTTATTTAGTAAAATAACATTTTGGCAAAAGCCAGATTAAGTTCAAAGTGACCATATTTTAGTTTGAAAGCGGACAAATAAGGAAGCTATTGTGCTTGAAAAAGAAAGTTACATAAGAGTGCATTTAGGGCAATGGTGTGGTGGTGGTACGATGATGCACCACACTGTATTGTGTTTGACAAAGTCATGTTGTTTGTTATTTCAATAAGTTATAGTGGAAAACTGTTTTTTCAAACTCGATCCAATAGTGTGATGACTGTCAAAAAACTGTGATAAATTTGAAGGAAAGAAAAAATTTATTATAGCCATCACAAGTTTTTAAACACTCGGATTCTTCTACAACTACTTTTTCAAACAACTGTATTTACACCAAACAAACTCCAAGTTGACCAGCCCATAATGATATTATCACTATTTTAATTTATAATTTGGTGTTATTGGTTGTTGATTTGATTAGAAGTATATGAATAATTATCTATTTGCTTTGGCCGTGAAGGGGGCATCATTTGGCTTAGAATCATACAAATATGGAGACTCAAAAGGGAAGGAGTGCTCTACTATTAAGATAAGATAGGACAAGATTGCTTGACCACCTAAGTTTTGTTTCATTTGAATTGAGTTTAGACTGAATCTAATTTTGCAACTTTGAATTGAACCAACTTTTAAATCTAATTAGTTCAAATTAAGAGTGGTTTTAAAGTCAATTACATGCCTTTGATCTAATTTTGAGTCAATTAGCTCGACATTAAATTTTTGTCATCGCAATGGTCGTGTATTTTTAATTTGAAAAAAAAATGGAGAAATTATAATAATTATATTTTATTTCTTATTTTTTTATTTGGAGTTTTGATTTTATAAAATAATGAATTATTTAAATTATCCAGAAAATTTAAATATGTATTTTTATGTATTTATTTCAAGGAAATAAATGAGCAAATACTAAATTCAATTCAATTCCTTTTACAAATGGCATTGTTAGTTTATATTTCATTTCCTCTCTTTCCATTCCTTCAAGCCCAACAAGAGCACACAAGGATTGAATAAGTCACCAAAAGCTCCCCTTCAATTTATGGACTCTTTGAGGAGATGAATTAATTTAGTTATTTATAATGAAGGTTGAAAATTTTATAATTGTTATTGAAAAGTTAATAAATGAAAAAATAAATAAAAATAAAATAAATCAAGAGCCATTGACTATGACGTCGCCAAAATCATATCCTGACATGATATGCGTGATGATATCATGTCATCTTATCTATGTATGAAAATATATATTTCACATTTTAAATGCTAATTATCTGAAATGTTTGGGTGATATAAATGTAAAAAGTAAAATTAAGGTGTTACAAATTCATGTAATTCTTTTGACTTTATGGATCAATTCATCATTTTGCAAGGTGATTTACATCTTTTCATGACATATATATATTTGTAAAAATTAAAGTCTAATCTTTTGTTAGACATGTAAATACATAAGAATTGAGTGATATGTATGTAAATCTTCCTTAAAATTAATAAAAAGTTATATATCTAAAATTAAAGTGTATTTAATTTTAATAACTATTGTCATTATAAAGTTATAACACAAAATACAGACTATTTAAATTTTCTTTGATTTGCAATATATAATAATAATAATAATAAGACAAATTTTTTGCTTGTCAATGGTATTTCTGCCATTACAATAAAGTTAAACCTAATGCCTCAAAGCACAAGAAGAAGGTCGCAAATCCAATACACAAATTTAAATAAAAGAATAAAATGTATAGAATATGAGAATCGAGATTTAAGACAATGATCAATCGATTTTATACTGTCATAAATAATAATTAAGAGTGATTGTCGTGATTAGGGGTGTCAAAAATAAACTCTGTATGTTAAGTTGACTCAAAATTGACTCGAAAAATTTAGATCGGATTAACACGATTAATTTTGGGTTTAGGTTTGGATCTAAGTGTCTGTTTGGGGCAGCTGAAGTTTATTAAAAAACTAATTTGATTGCTTGAAAAGCTTGGTGGTTATTACAAATCTTTTTTTTTTTTTTTAAATTTTACTGCACTGCATCTAGCCAAGAGAGGTGGGAAAACACAGATTTTAGTGGCAACTTTTTAAATAAATTATCAAAATGCAGTTTACCCAAAAAAATAAAACTTCAGTGCCCTAAAATTCCCCAAACGCATTGTATTCCCCAAACGTACCCTAAAATTCCAATGTGCATAAATTTTAAAGTCATGCCCAAGTTGACACGCCAATTTGAATTTGACCCGAATATGACTCGAAATTAGAACTCTTAATTATATAATCTCATATTGTGAAATAAATGAGAAAAAAAAGAAAAAGAAGCAGAGTGAAAATAAAATAAAATAAAAAGAGAGGGGTATAAAATAAAAAAAAATAAGAGAGAGAGAGCAGTTTTTTTAGTGCATGCAAAGGGAGTTGTTCGTCTTCTTTAGATAGTGTCATTTTTTGAATCTAACAAAAGAGGAAGGCCTTTGTCATGCAAAGAATAGCTTTCATATGGACTTCTAGAATGGAGTGAGGAAGAAAGCATTACAGCAACATCATCAGCTCATTTTCTTATGCCAAGCTCTCATCTTCAAAACAAATGTTTGTATTTTCTTGGAGCTGCACGAAGTAGCATATTTATTGGTATCAATAATTTTATGTAAAATGAAACTTTTCTATATATCCTTTTTGAAGTTTAGTTTTGATGTGACATCAAAGAGTTTTTATCACCTAGCATGAATTTCAAGGCATTTTTATGTAATAAACATTTTGGATTCAAACTCAAGATCATTTATTGTCTTCATTTTGATAAGTTTATAGTCAGACTGACCGTCATGACAAGGTGAACACGGTGATAAAAAAGTTGGGTCAATTTGAGTTTAATCAAGCTTAGATGAAGTTATTAAAGCATATTTTACTAATCCTGCACAGTTTGACATATGCATATTGAATTTTCACCAAAAATTTTATTTGTTTGAGATAATATTCTAATTTAAGTTATATAAAATTTTATAAGTGTAATTAAAAGTATACTTATTATGAAATACTTACATAATGAGGACGACAAACACTCTTAATATGCAATTTTTATTTTAATTTGTGTATACATATTGATTTTATTATTGCATAATGTGAATCTCTCAATTTTGTTGTACATACATGCCTTACGTATACATTGTGATGTTGAACATATTATAGATGCTTGAAATGATATGATATTTTGAAATGCGTATGTATGTGTGTGTGCAAGAAAGACTGACTATTATGATTTAGATTGACAGAGATATGTTACCCTATGAAGAAGGGTGGGCCAACAAGCTTTCCTTAAATGGGTTAGTGATGTAAACCCGATATATGTTGGGAGTTATAAGGGATGAATATGATATGATATGAGTGCCAACAGGCAGGGGGTGACGACTCGTGTACTGTACCACCTGACTGACTGTTCAGACTGTTTTTACTGAAATGACATGATATGATACTGTACATATTTTACTATGATTGGTACATAAAAAACACTACATATGATTAGCCAGATAATATAACTTGTATATTATATGTATGATGATAGTTGTGCTTGATTATATACATTTTATATATTGTCACTGTTGTGATTTAATACGATATAGTGGGTACATATATTACACATACATATGCATGTTGAGTGACCTACAGACTTAGGCCCCATTTTGGGCAGCTTATTTGGTGTGGTGTGTTTTGAAAACACGCCTAGGGTCTTTTGGGTAAACTGCGTACTGACATCTTATTCAAAAAGTCGTGTTTTTAAACTGCTGAAATCAGTGTTTTAACACCGTTCCTAACTAGATGCAGTGACAAATTTCTAGCTGAGGTATGACTTTTTAAGATTATTTAATATTAAATCTTAAATAATCTTAAAAATTTAATATTTTTTAAGATAAATTCAAAATAGCACACATCCCGATATATTATTAGGAGAGAAATGTTTTTTTTCCGGAAGGGACCCAAAACTACCGGCAACCACCTGATGACCATGTTGCAGATCGACTTCAAATAACTTCCAGCCTAAGCGCGTCGGGCCGTCTACATATACAAATATCAGCCGCAGGTCCGCAGGAGCAAGCAAAGCCGCAGAGGCGAGCGAGCGAGCGAGAGGCAGGTAGGCGAAAGTGATTTCCAGCTGCGATTTGGGGATTTTTGAGAAATGGAATGGTCAGCATCTCTGGACGAGTACGAGAAGCTATTGATCCGGATGAATACTCCGAGGTTGGCGCTTCTTTTGATCTCTCTTTTTTAGTTGTAATTTTTCTTCGATTTGTGCCCTTGCAGATCGGAATTTTCAATTGTTTTTGTTTTTATTTTTCTTCTTTTTTTCTGATGTTTTTTCGTTTTATTGATCTTCGAGTTGAGTTCCTCTGTTTTCTTTTGGTTTCTGTGTCTCTGAGACGAATCTCATATCCCGTCGGCACCAGATCTTACAATCTTCCGGATCTGGAAGTTCTTACTGACTGATTTGTTTTCTTTGTTTGCCCTTTTGAATTCTCCCTCAGGGTCGTCATTGATAATACCGTCTGCGCCAACTCAACTCTGGTTAAGGTAAACTCTCTAAATCCTATACCCTAATTTCCGAGGATTTGATCGAATCTTAATCTCTACTGCTCCGAATCCAGGTCGATAGCGCGAGGAAAGATACGATACTTCTTGAGGCCGTGCAGGTGCTCACCGACCTCGACCTGTCGATAAGAAAGGCCTACATCTCCTCCGACGGCTGCTGGTTCATGAACGTTTTCCATGTCACTGACAGATATGGCCAGAAGCTCACCGACAAGCGCATCATCGCCTACATCGAGCGTTCTCTAGGCACCGAAGACGACGAACCCACCGCTGTATCCCGTGACCAAGAGGCCTTCACGACCCTAGAGCTCGTCGGGTCCGATCGCCCTGGACTCCTCTCTGAGATATTCGCCGTCCTTTCTAACCTCGGTTGCAGCGTCGTGGAGGCGAAGTTCTGGGCTCACAAAGGCCGCATCGCTGGTCTCCTCTTCGTTGAAGAGGAGGAGACCGGCTTACCGATCAATGACTCCGACAAGATCGAGCATATCAAGGCTCGTCTTAGCTATGTCATCCGTGGCACCACCACCGCCTTGTTGTCTTCCTCCCCCTCGAACGCCGTCAGGGGAACTAAAGCCGACCGCCGTCTGCATCAGCTAATGTTCGCAGATCGCGACTATGAGCGAGCCGTGGCCTCCGTTGAGTCATCTGTTTCCGTTCAGAACTGGGTGGAACGGGGTTATTCGATCGTCAACGTTCAGTGCAGTGACCGCCGAAAGCTCCTCTTCGACGTCCTCTGTACTCTCACCGACATGGAATACGTCGTCTTCCACGGCACCATCGACACCAACGGTGATCATGCCTACCAAGTAATTACCCTTTTCCATTCTTCTACTTCCATTTTTGTGGAATCAATGGCACCCTCTTCTAATTCTCAATTTATTCCGCCCAGGAATTCTACATACGGCACTCAGATGGGAGCCCGATACGCTCGGAAGCGGAGCGGCAGAGAGTGATCAAGTGCTTGCAAGCAGCCATCGGACGCAGAGCATCTGAGGTTAATTTCTCTCTCTTTTCGGTTCTGTCTGGCTACAGCTGAGATGTAGGCTAGTAGGATTTAGTAAATCGCGGATTTACTAAATTCTCAATGAGTTAAATCCGAAAATCTCTCAGGCAACGGATTTACTAAATCCTATAAATTCAATAGAACTGTTTGGTAATTTTTTCAATTCACGAATCCGGATTTATCTTGTGCAAATTGACGTTCTGGCAGGACCCTAGATTAAATTCGATGCCAGACAGCCCCTCATTGATGTGCGATTCCTATTCGTACGTACTTATTGATCTGTTTGTTTGATTAGGGTTTGAGATTAGAACTGTGCACGGCGGATCCGGTGAGTCTCGCCGTGGCGACTAGGACATTTAGGGAAAATGGTCTAACAGTGACAATGGCGGAGATGTCGACAAAAGGGGAGACAGCGGTGAACGTTTTCTATGTGACGGATGCGGGCGGCCACCTGCCTGGCAGGAAGACGATTGAAGCTGTTATGGAACGGATTGGCGACGACAGCCTCAAGGCGTGTGAAGTCCGACCAATGCGGGCGGGGCAGAGTCACTCCGGTCGGGATCAGAACGAGTCATCGGCGGCCGGCGGCGGGTTGCTGCGCCTGGGAAGCTTAGTGATTCGAAATCTAAGCAATCTGGGGCTCATCAGGTCCTCCTAGAGAAGCCGACGAGTTGACTGCTTTGCTGATGCTTGTATATTTGTAAAGGAGAAGCAAAGAAGAGAGTGATCTAGCTAGCATACTCATGTGTAACTAAGACAAATATATACGAAGGAAAAACCTAATGAATATACCAGCAGTGTAAGTGTGATTTGTAAAATGTTTTTTATTCAGCTCTTTATATACATATATAAAAAATGAAATTTAGTGGTAAGTGTTGAATCATTGATTCGATGTTGGATTATAGCAATTGCTTATTAAGTTGGTGTTTTTTCTTACTTAGATGGAGCCAATTTTGAATGTGGTGTTAAGTTTGATCTAGAATGAGTGCTGGGATGTAAATGAATGGAATTGAGTTTAAGCTATCTTGAGCTTGAGATTGAGCTTGAGTGATATTGTATTTGAGTTCGAGTGATATTGTATTTGAGCTCAGTTCTTGATGTTCAGCTCGGCATATAAGTCAGCTCTTTATTATGAAAAAGCTCAAGTGATTAAACAGAAAACTAAACTAGCATCCTTAAATTTCACAATGATGTGGTGCTGATAGCTCTAGGTTTTCAATTAATACTCTTGATTATATTAGATCATACTACACAAGTAGAAGAAAAGAAAATTCTTGAAGAGGGAGAAATGGAGAACCTGAGAACATGTGGGTTGAAGAGAAGCAAAATGAGAACCGTGTGGCAGCAATGAGCAGAAGAGTTCGGTGACGAGCAATGATCTAATAGAAAAATAGGACGATGAGAGTTTTATTGGAGTCGCGGCATAAGGTCCCTAGAAAAAAGGCCCGGACGGTTTGTGTCCTCTCATGTTTTTCTCTCTATTTTTTTTATATATGTATAAGAAAATATTAAAATATAGATAGTGTCGTACACAAATATACTGTGACTTGATGAAATGACAACAACATTGACATACATGCCAAACGGATCATAAAATGAGAATGTGACATATGTCAACACTTGGCATTAGTCTTGACTTTTGCATTCTTATAATTACGAGGATTGCAAAGGGGGTGGGCTAAGCTAGTGAATATGATTGCTTATGGAATGTTTAGACCAATTTGGCAAGCAAGTTTGCCAATTCAGTTTGGTAGGTCAACTCGATAGTTAGTGCAAGACAGCTGACATTAGCGAGCTAGGTTTGCGGGTCACCATAACGAGTTACTCTAATAAAAACTGTCTATGGATAATTGGGCTGACTCAGGCCTCGAGAGTGCAAACTGACCTATGAAAGCTTATTTTTGGGGTGTGTGTGTGTGTTTGTGTTTTTATATATTGTTGAATCTAAATCTGTTCTTTGGAATGTGCCCAAAGAATGGAGTCGTATTCTGGGGGAATGCGAAAGAGAGGCAGAGAAAAAGAGAAGGTTGCCCCTTCGGGGGGCAAAGAGGGGTGGTCCTTGTGCTCATGACCCCTATTATTCCACATAAGTTCGGTTACAAATGAGGGAGAATGGGAGCTTTGAGGGTGAGAGAGAGAACCTAAGGAACCCTTTTTACATGCCAAGGATGTTATGTGTGGAGCCTAATTTGAAGCGCTACATATAGGGGAGAGCACCCGGAGCCAGGCTCTGGGCGCATAACGCCCACTTGAATGTGAGTAGTAGAGAAGCTGGCGCATATGCGCTAGCCTATGGGCACATATGCGCCCACTCCCACTTTGGCGCTACTTTGATACAGAGAGGCTGACATATTGGCTCATATGCGCCAACATTAGGGGCTAGGCTCCTTTCATACAAAAAGCTTGCGCTAGAGACAATTTTTAATATGATTTGGTTTTTAATCCTGATTTCAAGCGACATATCAATAGTGTGCAAGGCTTATTCGACAAGTTTTTGGTGAAGGAGTGTTAGAGAGGAGGATTTATAGGATCTCAACATGTATTTTTCACGTCGTATCGGAGCTGAAAGAATTTGGAGTGAGGTCTTGTAAATTTCCTTGAGAGAGGAGAAGAAATTTGAGTGTGTTCCTTATAAACTCTTTGAAATTCATAGTGGAGTTTTTTGATGGTGTGACTTCATGATTTTTTCCCGTTCTCGGGTTTTTCCGCTTAGAAGTCTTGTGTTCTTTTCTGGTTGCTTTGATTGTGTTTTCTATTTATTTCTTTGTTATGGTTTTCTCGAATTAGTGCGATCTTGTTGTTCCGTCATGTAGTTTAGTTTCTAATTGATCATAAGCCTTAGTAAATATAGGAATTGTTTTTCAGAATTTCCTATCAAACGGGTATCAGAGCGTGACTCAATTTGAGTGGGAGCAATGACCAAAGAGGCAAAGTTCAAAGTGGAGAAGTTCGATGAACAAACTTTTCTTTCTGAAAGATATAGGTGGAGGATTTGTTGTATCAGTAAAAAAATTATTTGTCACGACAAGTAATCACCAGAAAGTCGAAGTCTATGCCTATAGAAGAATGAGAAGTGTTGCATCGAACAACATTGGCTTTGATTTGATTATCACTTTCATCATATGTTGCGTTCAACATTATGAATGAGAAAACTACGGTGGAACACATGACAGTGCTAACCAAGATTTACGAAAAGCCTTCTGTTTCCAATAAGATCTTTCTGATGAAGTAGTTTTTCAACATGAAGATGGTGGAATACAGTTCATTAGCAAAGCATCTCAATAATTTCAATACTGTGACGAGCTAGTTTTGTTATGTGGAGATCAAATTTGATGATGAGATTGATGATACTATCTTCATTGCAGGACAGTTGAGATAGTTTAATAATAGTGGTGAGTAATTCTTTAGGGATTTCAAAGTAAAACTATGATGACATCGTGAGTCTGATGTTAAATGAAGAAGTTCGCAGAAAAGCAGTAAATGGTGAATATTCATATTCTATGTTGAATGTTGATGATATGGGAAGAAATCTGAGCAGGAATACTGGCAGAGGCAGATCCAAGTCCAAGAAATGAAAGTTCAAGTCAAGCAGAGAAGAATGTTAGAACAGCGGTAAGAAGGGGCATTTCAAGAAGGACTGCAAAGCTCTAAAGAAAGTTGGTGGTGGAGGACAGGAAAGTAGTTACTCTACTAATATTCCACCAGTGAAATCTAAAATGACTCCTTGGTGTTATCCCTAATTAGCACTGAATCCTGGATAGTGGATTTAGATGCCTCTTTTCATGCTTGCCCTAATAAATATGCATTTAAAAACTATACTCATAGTGATCTAAGGAAGGTTTATTTAGGAGATAATAAAGTCTATAGTATAGTAGAAAAGTGTGATGTTGATATCAGGTTGCCGAATGGAACAATTTAAAAGCTTACTGAAGTAAGACATGTTCCAAGTTTGAAGAAAAATCTTATCTCTGTGGGCCAGCTGAGGAAGTCAAGATTCATAACAACTTTCACAAGTGATTCATGGTAGGTGACTATAGGGCATTAGTGATGGCTTGGGGCAACATTTAACGCACCTTTACTTTAATCGATGAAATGACTGATTTCATTGATGTGACTGGAACCATTATGGATGTCGGTCTGTGGCACCATAAGCTTGGCCATATGAGCGAAAAATGGTATGAAGTCCCTATTTTCAAAGAATACAATTTAGGGTCTGAAATTTGTTGATTTGGATTTTTGTGAAGATTGTGTACATGGCCAGCAGAATAAAGTTTTTTTCTTTAAGAGCGGATCAGTGTTGAAATCAAAGAAACTGGAGTTAGTGCATACTGATGTATGAGATCCTACTCCAGTTTAATCTATCGGAGGTTCTTGCTATTTCGTTACATATATTGATAATTACATGAAAAATTTATGAGTTTATTTTATAAAATAAAAATCTTATGCATTTGAAGGCCTTAAAAAGTGGAAGTTTGTTATAGAAAATGAGACAGACTTGAAGCTGAAGTGTCTCAGATCAGATAATATGGGTGAGCGTCGTAATCAGAAGTTCAGGGGTCAAACATAATTTCACTGTCCCTAGAACACCACAACATAATGGTGGGGCTTAGCCCATAAATAGAATAATCACGGAGCGTGTTAGGAGCATAAGGTTGCGCGCAAACTTGTCAAAACAATTTTGGGCTGAAGTAGTAAATACTGCAGCTTATATGATCAAGAATAGCAATCGACACCTTTGGAAGAAGGCTTACTTGAAGAAGCATGGAGTGACAAAAATGGTATGTCTATCTCATTTAAGAGTATTTGGGTGTTCTGCATATGTGTCTGTTGATGCAGGGTACAGAGCAAGCTTGACTCAAAATCTGTCAAGGTAATATTCATTGAATATCGTTTGGATGAGTTTGGGTACAAGTTATGAGATTATCAGAATTAGAAATTCATCAGAAGCAAAGACGTCATTTTCAACGAAATGGAGATGCACAATAACAGGGTCAGAACTCAGGACTGTCCGTCAGCTACTCCTGAAGAATCCAAATATGTGGAGATGGAGATACTTGTGATTAGGAGGATGAAGAAAGAAGTACTTAACTAGAAGGAGCATCAGAAGTTCCTCAGTCACCCGCTACAGAAGTAAGAAAATCCAACAGAGTGATACAGACCCGTACACAGGTATTCTCCTTATTTACACTATTTGTTACTAGCTTCTAGTGGTGAATCAGAGTGCTTTGAGGAGGCCACTCAAGTTGAAGATTCATGAGAGTGGGAGCTTATCATGAATGAAGAAATGCAATCTTTAGAGTCGAATCAGACTTGAGATTTGATGGTAATATCAAATGACAAAAGAATATTACAAAATAAGTGGGTCTATCGACTGAAAGAGGAGTCAGATGGTAATAAACGCTACAAGACAAAACTTATTGTGAAGGATTTCCGACAGCATAAATGAGTGGATTATACATTGATCTTCTCCCCAGTGATGAAGATGATGGCTGTCAGGATTGTGCTGAGTCTGGTAGCAGAATAAAATCAACATCTGGAGCAGATGGATATAAAGATAACTTTCTTAAATGAAGATCTAGAGAAGGAACTGTACATGGTGCAACCATAAGGTTACAAGGTTTCATGTAAAGAATGTTTGGTTTGCATATTGAAGAAGAGTCTCTATGGCTTGAAGTAGGCGTCAATATAGTGGTACATAAAGTTTGACAGGTTGTCAGACAATGTGTACATGAAGTGTCAGACAAACCATTGTTGCTTCATCAAACACTTCAGTAATGGTTATATTTTGCTTCTTTTGTTTGTGGATGACATGCATATTGTAGGGACATATATGGAGAAAGTCATGGACTTGAAGAAATAGTTATCAAGTGAGTTTGAAATGAAAGCT